TTTATAATGTAAACATAATGGTGCCCATCTCTTACATCTCAGGCATTAGGTACATTTTAAAGCATTTGCTAATTTGCTAGGGAAAAAAAAAGACACCCAAAACACCCCCTGCAGTTTGCAGTTGTTTGAGTTTGCATTTTTTAATCTTCCACAACTCTGTTCACATTTTAATTAGCCCTTTATACGAAACAGACTTTGGAGTCAGAATGCTTGGACTTCAGTTGGAATGATGCCACTTAATATTCGTGTAATGTGCTTCAGCTTCCTCACCCACAGAGTAAGTTCAAATATACCATCTTATGTGCTGCTGTGAAGACACAGTAAAGGGTTAGGTGCATGCCAGGCATGAGGCTGACTGAGTGCAATCCCCAGTACCATATGGTCCTCTGAGCATCACCTGGTGAGCCTGGAGCCCCAGTGCTCAACTACCTGCCTGCTTAGGAAACCTCTCCACCCCCAAAAAAGGGGGCTAAAACTTATTCCTCAGGCAGGATCTGTACTTGCAAGCTTGAGTTACAGGCCATAATTACATCAATATGTTTATCTCTCTAGCTGGGATATTCGGTGAGTAAATTATGTACATCAACTCCGTGGAGTGCCATATAGTTGCAGAAGAGAATATAAGGACTCTAGGAAATATGGAGTGATCCCCAGGATATACTGTTACTTGGAAAGAAGATACACATTAAAGGATGATTGATCAGTCATATGCTACCCTTTATATTAGGAAAGAGGAAAATTAGAAAATATATGTCCTGCTTCTCATTTGTAAAAAAATCAACACAGGAAAAATAAATTAGAAATGAATTGACCACTCATGGGCAAGGACTGGGGAATGGGAGCAGATGGAGGAGACGGCGAGGGGCTGCCACTAACCCCCGGCAGCCCTTTAATACGGTCTCAACCTGGAAAGCAGGGTAATGTCTGATATCTGGGAAAGGGAGAGGGCAACTGGGTCAAGGGGGAAAAATAAAGTGAAAAACAAATAGAGACAAACAAGCTTCATATATTAAAGAAATACTATTACTATAAAAAGAACAAGTGGGAAAGAAAAGAAATCACCCAAGAAGTAAATACAGTAAATACACAGGGTAAAAGTAAGACAACAGAACTATATACAAATACGGACCACTATTAGAAGCTTGTTTTCCCAGTGGTATGAGTTGCAATTCTGAAATAATGTGTATTCAAGGGCTGAGCACATTACACAAAGATACCGTTGATAATAGAAGTTGTTTTTTTGCTATCAGAGAAGAAAGTTACAAATACAAACTTGTATAACACCTGGTGATGGTGTAGATGTGGAATGCAAGGTTATGTGAGTGGCGTGTGTGTGTGTGTGTGTGTGTGTGTGTGTGTGTGTGGCGGGGGCGGGGGGTGTGTGGGAGTGCTGAGTGCAGTGACATCACATCTAAGTCCCCAGGCTTTCTATATTCTCCATTACACCAAACCAAAGACCTTAGGAGAGGAAACGAATGATTCAGAGAAAGACCAAGATGAACTGGAACATCATGTTGGAGCAGAGAGTAGGGATGTATTCCAAGGACGGGGTCATGTCGGAAGGCCACCAAAGGCAGCTGGAAGCAGTTACCATTCAGTGAGTCTGGGAAAACGTGAACATCCACATGAATAGTGGCAGCATCAAGTTATAATCCATGAAAGAAAACCCCTTAAGTCTGTAATTATATAAATACATGACTAGGTAAATGAAAGAATGATTAAATAAAGCTCCTATATCAGGGAGATGGTTCAAAGCAGTGAAGTTTTGTATTTGGGAACCCCGGTCCAAACCCGGCTTCCTGCAAATGATTTATTTCAAATAAGGTTCTTTCTTATGGGAAGTATCTATTACACAGAAGAAACAATGAAATAGAAAATCACCACATAGTAATGAGCACAGTAAAAATTATTTGAGATAAGAATTATATATGAATCCTATAAACAGATTTAAAAAGAGGAAATATAAGAAAAGTTTCAAATTGTAGGACACTATAAAGTGACCTGTACACTTCAAAATTATTGAGGTAACAAAAACCAAAACTCCAGATTACACACTGAAAAGACATGATAAGTAAATTCAATATGTAATCTTTAATCTTTAGGATATTTCCTGCTCCCAGAAAGAACATTAGTAAAATTGGTGAATCTGAAATTTGAACATGGTGATTACACAATAGTGCTGTATAAACCTTAATTCTGACTTTCATCATTTGTATATTGCATTTATGTAGGAGAGCCGTTTCGTTTCTAGAAAAACACACGGATAATCTGAAGTAAAGTACAGCATTTACAATTCTCAAATAACTAAAATATAACCTACATAGCAGAGATGTGAGAAAGGGGGAGAGACAGAGTAAAAATGGAGAAAGCTGATCTAAAATGTTGGGACAGAGTGATAGTCTAGTGGGTAGGCGTTTGCCATGCACAGAGTTGATCCAGGTTCAATCCCTGGCACCACATTTGGGTCCCTGAGCCTGGACTGACCCTCAAGCACAGAGCCAGGAGGAATCCCTGAACACTGCTGAGAGTGGCCCCACACAAAACAAGAAACCAAAAACCAAAACCAAAAAAAAGATAATGTTAACATCTGAGGATTTACGCCTAAGAGTATATGGAAATTCTTTGGACTATTTTTTAAAACCTTTAAGTCTGGAATTACTCTAAATGAAAGGGGAAAGGAGCCTGATGAGGCCTTGTGGCAGCTCTGGCTGCAGGGCCAGCCCCCGAGGCAGAGGCCTCCGATGCTTGGGGATACCTCGGCAGGGCAGCGAGTGGAGAGGGAGAGGGAGCTGGGGCAGGGATGCCAGCAGTGGGGCAGACTACAGGGAGAACCTGGTATTTCCTGGCTGAGAGGAAGGGGAAGCTGGGAAACCAAGATGAAGAAATCTATCATCTCCAACCCATGGCTGTCCTTCCTTCTCTGACTTGCCTAAGTTCTGGGCCAAGTCATAAAATCTACGAGGTGGTTTATGAGCTTGGAGAGGGTGCGCTGGGGTCACACTGGGACTTCTGGGGACCCCAGCTCTGCCTCACCGGAGACAGGCTGTCTGAGGTAATGAGACACAATTTGTTCCAAAGGCAGCATTTGGCCCATGCGACCCCAGTACGCCTGGCTGTCCCGGCCCGTGGGGTGCAGAGCTTTGGCCCTGTGGTCCCTCCTGTGCATGATCAGTTTCTTTCATCACCCTGTGACCCAGCTCGAGAGTGGGCAGATGGGCGGCTGCAGCTTCCTTCCTGCTGATACCGTGTCTCTGCCTGCGAATCTACCAGTTTTATAAACAAAAGAAAGATTTTCCTGCCTTCCAACTTTATTTGAAGTACTGAAAATACATTCCCTGACCAACAGACTCTCAAGCTCTGGCGAGAAAAGGGAATGAGTGGAATAATTTAAAAGATCCTTTAAGAAAGGGTGAGGAGAGATGAAATTTCAGAAACCCCATAACCCTGGTTATCGGAGTTTGAATGATGTGTTTAAAAAGGATCATGAGAGCTCAGTGGGTGCAGCAACTCCTTCTGCTGTAAGATGAACTATACATTTTCCAAGAAGGATATCTGTTCCTTAAGTGCAAAAGAGGAGGATGCTGTGTCTTGTGGGGTGTTGAGGGTGGGGTGGGTGGGTTGTTTTTGAGCTTTGTTTTTGAGTTTTTGAGCTACCCAGCAGTATTCAGAACTTACTACTGATTCTGTGCTCAGGAATCTCTCCCGGCAGGGACCTTATGGGGCACCGGGGATCGAACCAGGGTCAGCTGTATGCAAGGCAAGCACCCTACCCACTGTACTATCTCTCTGATTGAGCATATGTGGCATTTAAAGATACACAGCAAAGTAGCAAGAAAGGGTCAAAGGCAACATAATGGAAGAAGTGGATTAGCCACACGAAAAGCAAGCACCCCACCCCTGGACTATCAACCTGCCTCTCAACATAATACTTTCTGGCTTTCCTCATGCACATTTATGTTGGGCCTGTTGACGTTAATGAAGATTCTATGATTCTTCATCTGTTCAGTGTAAAACTAAATTCTGATAATGAAAATACACATGGTTTCTAGTGACAGATTTTTACAAGGTCAAAAATGACACAGGGAACTAGAGCAATAATACAGTGGTGGGCATTTGCCTTGCACACAGCCAACCCAGATTTCATGCTTGGCACCCTATATGGTCCCTGGAGCCCACCAGGAGTGATCCCTGAACAGACAGCCAGGAACACTGCTGGATGTGAACACCACTCCCCCGCCCCCCCAAAAAAAAGGATAGGAATACCAGTTTTCAAGTAGCATTTTGATATTATGAATCAGTTATACAAAATGTAGCCTTTACACTAGAGCGTTATTTCTAATCTCATTTAAACCAGGAGGAAAAAACTGCCATTATGTCTTTACATCATCCTGTGCACTATTTCATAGATTATTCCAATTTTAATTAGGGAAACTCAAGATACAAACACATGTTTTAGAAAGTCTACATATTAACACTGTAATAATTTCCACAGTAGAAAAGGGGGATTGTTACTCAAACAAGATAGTTACTCTATCAGAGAAGCTGTAAGGGCTAGAACGCCTGAAGAATTGTTTTCCTAAATCAAAGCATCCCTTTCCTGCCCTGTACAGTGTTAAGCTTATAGGAAAAAAAAAATTAGAAAGCTGAAAATCCTTTTAAATAACACTTCCTTTAGCTTTAATCGCAAATAATTGCCTCTTTTGGTGCTAATGAGCACGAGGGCTGGGAATGGAATGCAATTCTGCCTGTTCACTAGGATAATGGCTTTGTCAGCGAGCGGCTCTGCCGAGAGCCGGCTCAATTTCCTCGAGTACCATAAGTAAGCAGCAGTGAATTTTTCACTTGAGGAAGATTTTCTACCCTATGTAAATATAAATAGAACGCTCATTATCTATTGATAAATACAACAAAATAGGTTAAATAAAGTTTTATGTGGTACTGTTTTCTTTAACAGCCTTTGGCTCCCTGGGTCAGGAAAGTGAATAAAGCACTTCACTTACTGAAATCAATGAGAAAGCGGCCAAATCCTTGCCTTTGGTGCTGGGGCATGATCATTATGCAGGAGACATTATACTTCTGCTGGCAGAGCTTTTCCTGAGGGAGAGAGAAACAGATCGAGGATGTGAGACTGCTGAAGTGGGCGATTCCCGGCACCTGCCACTGTCCCTGCAGTGCGGCCCTCAAAGGTGAGCCAAGGTGTCAGGGCAGAGGCAAGTCGCAGAGTCCCCTGCTAGTCAAACTATCAGCTAACGACAAATCATCAACTCCAGACAAACCTCTCAGTTACGTTTTTATTCTTGAAAGGCAGGACTGTCAAATATGAATAAAGAACCGAGAGGAATATAAACCAAATCCACAGACCATAGCATCAAAGAAATGCTTTTCTGTACAAACAACTTTGGGGGTGGGGGGGGGAAGAATACCCGTCATGAGACCCCCAACTTAGGACTTAGCCAGCCTATAGTTCTGCAACAGCAATCTGCCTTCTGCCTATGAGCAAATGCCCCAGTAAAACTAAAATAGTCTATGTGTGGGTAGATTTGCACAAATACATTTTTCTTCTGGTGGGGGAAAAAAAAACAGTCAAAGTAAAAAAGCTAGAGAAATAGTTTGCATTTCAAACCAGGGAAACAAAACCCAAAAAGACAACAACAACATGAAACCCTAAGGCCTCCAAATAAAAGGCCAAAATATTACCAAAAGTCTGCAGTTAGGAGCAAGACTGGGAAGAAAACGGTGGGAAACAGTTATAATTAAGGATGAATTCACAATTTTCATGGGATGTGGCATCAGAGCAGCAATATTTTATTCAGAGTACACAGAAGCCGCCAAAACCGACAGAGAGAAGACCTGGAAAAGACTTTTGAGGCTGCAAATGTTCTGGCCAAATATAAACCACAAATAAGATTGACCACAAATGTACTAACCACATCAAAGAATTACTTCAGAACACCCAGATCTTTAATGAACCTATTTGAAAGATCACAGGAAATGGTTGTGGAAAAACCCCTACAGGGCAAAATTAAAGATTTCTTTGTGAAAAAAGATGTGCTTCCAACTTTGACACGTTTGTAGCTGTCTGCAGAGTCTCTAAGAAATGGGCGGGAGGAAACAATGTGTGCTTTCCCTGGCAGCTGGGCTGTCCATCACCGTATGGACACAACAGAGCAAAGGTTCAAATAATTAGTCACCTCTGTAAAGTCAGACATCTGGGCTGCCCAATCTAAAAAGAAATGCTTTTCTGGTTAGAAAGAGTCATCCTTGCTGTCATTCTGTTCCTGGTCCCAAACTATTCCTACCTTACCCCCTAACCTTAGGAGGAGGTTGTTCTTTTGTTTGTTTTTTAAATTTTATTCCTTTTAGAAACCCATCTCAACAGTGATTCTCTTTATTTTCCTCTTTTGTTTTTGGGGTCACACCTGGCGGTGCTCAGGACTTGCTCCTGGATCTGTGCTCAGGGAACTGTATGTGGTGCCGAGCATCGAACTTGGGTAACTGTATGCAAGGCAAGCGCCTGCTGAACTATCGCTCCGGCCCTCAGTGAGCCTCCTTTTGCCTCTCCTTTAACAGGTCACTACAGCTCAGCTCCAAACTCTGAATAAAGTAACTTCCTCATTACATTCTTCTAGGGTATACTTGGGAAGTCGTCATATAAGAAAAGATATTTTGAGAATTATATAGATTTTCTATGTGTGGTTTTATTTTGCATCAATTCCTTTCATCCTCTGACTCCAAAACGTGCAAATTTACTTTGTGCTTTTTCATTTTAGAGCTCTGCCAACTAGGAGGCTGAACACACTGCAGTGGCTTCCCACGGGCACCGATGCTTACATGGACTATTTATGGGCTGGTTCTTAGATGGATAAAAGCTTCAGTCTGTAAAGGACCTTCAGAGATGTTCAGAGATGGCCTCTCCTTTTTTTTTGGAGGTGCTGAGACCATATGCAGGTGAGGCATATACTCTACCCGAGTCAGAGCCTCACCCCCAAAGCCAGTCCTACGATCCTTCATAAAAATAGCACTGCTAGCAGGCATTCTATTTGTGTGATGCTAAAGAAGATTCTTTAAAAATTCACTTGTCATTGAACATTAAGAAAACATATAATAAAATAAGAGAAAGGGTTTAAACCATTTATCTATTGCCTGGAAATCTTGTCATTACCATCTTGGCACAATTAAAGGATTTCCTAGGAATCTAAGAAAAGTGACATGGTAAATGTCTCCAAATTTAGTTCTCCTTGATTGCGTATTGTTTCTCAGAAGCCTCTGAGCAGAAGAATGTGAGAGAGCTGCTCTGAACCAGTGAAAAAGACAGACTCTAGTCGGTATGGCAAGGGCTTGCCTCTGTTCCCAGCTGAAGATGCTTTAGACTTTCAAAAGGTGAGGCTGCTTTAGATCTTAAAACACTAACACAGTAAGAATTTAAAACTAGTCATTATATCAGCTTGGCTGTCCAAATGCCAATGTTCCGACTCATGGAGATACTAATGACCACAGAGGGAATGCAATGAGGAAAAAGGAGAATTATCTCTTAAATGCTACATTAGATTGAAACCTTTATGTAGACCCCACTTAGGGAGAGGGGGGAAATAAGCTCAACATTTCGAAAATCAAAGAAGTAGGTGGCCTGCCAGGCAGCAATTCTAGTATTACGCAGATGCTGACGGCCGGGACAGCACCCAGTGCGGAGGCCCTTTAAACATGTCCTCGCCACCATGTTCATTGTTTTTAAAGAGGCACTCTGAACAAGCACCTGAGCTGTTCAGACACGTGTCCCTTTTTCCAATGACAGCCACAGACCAGCCCCTGCTCCAACAACTGGGCTCTACCATGAACATTTTGAGAGAGAAAAACAAAGGTCATGCTGGCTCTTGTTTTACCTTAGAGAAGTATCCAACCAGATGACAGCCCTTTTCATCATTTTTTGTAAGGACATAAAAAAGGAATGGCTCGACATCATAATACAACGTTTTGTGATCCAGGAAGAGCTTGGCTAACAAGCAAAGGTTTTGGCAATAAATTTTGCTCATATTCCCATCAACCTAGCAAAGAGAAACAGACAACATTATTTAGCATAAAAATACTGCTCAGTATAAAAGTGATTCTTCTGCTTGATTCTTTGGAAAATATATGGGTTGCTTTCAAAATCACAAACTAAGAGTTTAAAACATTCCCTTAACAAGTATAAAGTTAACTGGAAAGCTGCTGTCAGTTGGAAAATGAGAATTCTACCTTTCCTTTAAAGTGGGCAAATTTAAAACGCTTAAGTTTCTTATTCAAGATACCTGAAGAAAGGCTAAATAACAAAGGAGTAATTTTTACTAATAATTTACCAGGAGTTGAAAATGAGAAGGCATGTTCTCTCTTTGAATCAAGTAAACCTGAATTTAGAAATGTAAAGATCAGAATACTGCTTAAGTAAGTCAAACTTAATGTTATTTTCAAAAAGAGTTCACAAAAAAAAAAAGAAATAAATGAACTGTATTATTTGGATTCCCCAGAAATGTAGATTAGCAAGAGGTTTCCATTTTGATTTTATCCTAAGCATCATTTTAAATATAATTGGAAAAGATAAAATTTCTATAATGGGAATACTTACAGAGAACTGAGATAAATTTCAACCTACAGTAAGTATCATGATTACAGTCTATTTCTTTTCAAAATAAAAGAACCAAGCTGTGAGGCTGATGGTTGCAGACAGGAGGCTAGGCACAGATGCCAACGCCTTTGATCAAATGTAGTTACTTGTTGGAAACAGAAAGCACAGCAGATTTAAGAATTTCCTTAGGACTTTTCTTAGGGGAAATGGATATTTGCTAACCAGAGCTCTTTAACAATGAACTTGACCATTCTCAAGTCTCCTGTGGACCATACAGGTTCTCATATTGCACAAATTATTTTTAGACTGCATATAACTACTTCCCTTCAATGAAACCTAGGTCCCACACTTAGCAACATAATCAACTATGGGCAATGGCAGAGGATGCAATTCTCTCTTTAATTAAGGCAAGTTTTTTTGGTCTGTTTTGTTTTGTATTTGTGAGTATGGTACTTTTGGAAATGTACTATATTACAAAAAAGAAAAAAAAAAGACATCTATATGTGTGAACCAGAAAAACAAAGAGATGACATTGCTGAAGAGAAATTCTCATCAGTTGTGAAAAGATCAATATGGCTTTCAAGAGGGATAGATAAAATGAAGACAGGAAAGCAGTAGTCTGTTATTGATTTATTTTGCAAGTTCTTTAGGAAACGGCAAAGAGAAAAGTTTCTTACATGATAAACTCTAAGTATTCATCTCATAGGGAAGGGTCCCCCAAAGAAATGGAATTCCTGGACATAATAGCCCACCTGTGATCACAGGAAGTATGGCCCGATAGGACCTACCTGGCACCAGTAACTGACCCTGAGGAGGCTGGACACTTTACAGAGGAGATAAACTTCAGCAGAGACAGAGAATGAAGCTCTTCCTTTCTGACAATCCCTGAATGACCCACACCTCTGGCAGAAAACTCCAGACCAAGACAACCTGAGAAATATCCATATAAAAGCCGGTCTTAAAGGTCCATTCAGGCCTCTGTCTGTCTCTGAAGAAGCCCATGCTCTTTCTCTGTTATTCTATGCCTCCTTCTCTTTCTCAAAAGCCCCCAAATTAACTATTTTTACTTAAAAAATATATATATACATTCATCTCAGATTCTAGAATAGGGGGGCGTGGCATTTATCCAATCCAATTTCATCAGTTAATTTTATGAATCCATTTTACAGATCTTCTGATTCTCCCTCTCTCTGTAGTCTGAGAGTATCAGCCCTGAAATAGACCATTTTTTTTTTGGTTTGCTTGTTTAGGGGCCACACCTCGCTGTGCTCAGGGCTTCCTCCTGCCTCTGTGCTCAGGGATCATTCCTAGAAGGCTCCAGGAACCATAAAGGGTGCTGGGGATTGAACCTGGGTCAGCCACCTACAAGGCAAATGCCCTATTCACTTTGCTTTTGCTCCAGCCTGAAATAAGACCATTTTCACTGACCTCACAAGACTGATTCTCTTAACTCTAGGAGGGCTCTTCCTGGACTAATGAGATCTTCAATTCCACAGGCAGATTCATGCTGAGTTATTTATCAATCAGAGTTGGCAATGTGTTTTGTTCTTTGAGAAACAATAAGGCAGTGATTGTCATCTCATTTTGGTTAGGAGGAAGGATTCATGGCATCAAGGAAGAAGCCAGTAGAGAAGCTGAACTTCGGACATTAGTAAAGCATGAATAAGAGCAGTTCTGCTGTCTCGACTGTGGCGGTTCGCTGGACAGGCCAAGACTAGCAACACGAGACCAACAAGTTTTGGAAGGACAAACAATTTGCATTTGGTTTCTCCTCTGGCACTGTAACCCTCACTGGGCACAGATACCTCCCAAAGGACATATGTTTGGCGACATTTTGGGTTGCCACAATTGGAGCTGGGCATTTAGTAGGCAGTGGCAAGGGATGCTGCTGCCCTACAACACAGACTTAGATACAGAATCAACAGACACCTGTGAATCCTGCCAGAGCAAGGACCTCTATGGCTACCCTTTGGATCAGATCATCTCCTCCATCACGCTTGCAAAAGAGCCTAACGTAAGTAGGAAGAAGGCTTAAAAAGCAGACACAATTGGAATTACCTGTGTTCTTTGATTGGTCCTCAGAAAAGGTGGTGCCCAAGGCCGAGAAGCAACCTGGTGTATGTGAGAAACTTCCCCATAAGAAACATAACAGGGAGGCACATGGACTCCAGGCAAACGTGAGACCGAGTAATCGAGTACGTAATATGGAAAATGAGACCCTAAAGTAAATCTGTAGCCTAGAAAGGACATGTCTGCTGCATAAGGCAGGCTTGTTCTGAGAACCTAGGAATGGAAGAAACAAAAGCCAACCAAGCAAACAAACCAAATCAACACACCCAACGGACGTGACAGAGAAGGACATAAGACAAGGAAGTGTTAACTTGGAATGATGAGAATCAAAAATAAGAAGTCCTGAAAAATCAAAGAAAGGCAGGAGCTCAAGGTACGACTGACTTGGAACAGACAATAGAAACATGATTAAATAATGAAACTATATATAGGCAAGGACCTTCTGCTACTCAATCAATTCTGAAAACACAAAATGTCCTCGAGAACCCATGAGAGATCGTGGCCACAAGGGGTTCCTGGGAACAGCAGAGTGCTCCAGGGGGGCCATCCACCCAGATGAGGGGTGGGGGTGTCCCAACATCTGCTGGGGTCTCACCAAAAAGATTATTCACCCTGCCAAGAAATGGATGGAAACACAGGTGGTTGTGCATTGAGGAGATATGTACAGCTGCTCAATTCCCTGGAAGGGCGAGCACCTGGCAGACACTGGCTGAATCTGCTGAACAAAGCTCATTTCTTCTGCCAAAGAAAGTAGAATTTACAAAAAGCTGAGATCATAAATCCACTGGTGAATATATCTGGTGCAGACAGGGAGTTGGAGAAAATAAAAAAGTTAATACGATGAAGTAGGAATTTATCATCAATCTAAATGGCTGTTTAATATGGTCAGATAAACATTCCAAAACAGGGAGGTATTTTAAAATGCAGTCTGAATGTCAGCGCCAAAACGGCAAATAGTTTGTACCTTCTAGAAACAAATCGGTACACAGTCAACAATTAGAAGTAATAGGTTACAGAAAGTTTCGTGTTTTTTTTTTTCATTTAATTGTTTTTAATTCATATATGCTTACCTCAAATACTGAAAGGTCTTTCTTTCGGTAAATTTCATTTGCTGGGGGATGAAACCATCCACATTTCTTTGAGTGTCTTAACAAAATATTTTTACTTTTCATATATTTAAGACAGAATTCACACAGGTAAAGCTTTGGTAATCTGTTAAAATTTAAAATCAAAGAATTTATCACATTGGTTAGACTTTTTATGAGAAATATTAAATATTGTTTTCTCGAGGTCATAAAAAGCCCTTATTAAGCAGTATTTGAAAAGAAGTTATTTAAAACAAAATAAGTAGTAAAAAGAACATATTTCAGTATAATAATATGTGCTGCTTTTATTTTGTGAACAATCATTTGTTTCCTTACATATGTCCTATAGAAAAAACGGTTTTCAGATGTGGAAATACTACTCGAAAAACCACCAGTAAGGTTTTATCCTGTTAGGTAATCATGCATACTTTTCAAATCTTGGATTTAATGCCCTATTTTGGGTAGTATTTGGGTCAGTGCTATAACTCACCATATTCTACTCAGAAATGTATTATTTCTTAAATTATCTTGGTCATTAAAAGACAGAGACATTTTGGAACTTGATTGCTTTTATTTCCATTTACGGATGAGGTCAGTTATTATCATTACTGATGTTGTACAAATTAAGGATGCGCAGCTAAAAGTTTTGATTGTACTTGTTTGTGCCAATTCCACTCTGAGTAAGATAAGACAAACTGCTCTCCTGCCCTCTGGCATTTTCTCCACCCTAAAAATGATAACACTTATACTTCTGCCCTCTCCATGCTTAATGAACACTGCTAATGTTGACAAAAATAAACAGAAGTACTTTAAGGACTTTGGGGTATACCGATAGAGAAGAACGTTCGGGGGAAAGAGACAGACACAGGCTTAGATAATGCTAACTGCAAATCTTAAACTTGTACACAAATTGTATTTAAGGTCTCAGAATACATCACGCATACAAATTAAAGCTCACAGACATTAAAAAAAAACGGTTGGAGACTTGTTCTGAACACCTGTCTCATTTTTAGTTTTAGTTTTGGGGCTTTTTGGGTCACACCTGGTGATGCACTGGGGTTACTCCTGGCTCTGCACTCAGGAATTACCCCTGGCGGTGCTCAGGGGACCATATGGGATGCTGGGAATCGAACCTGGGTTGGCCGTGTGCAAGGCAAATGCCCATATTGCTCCAGCCCCCACCTGTCTCGTTTGAGCCTGTGTTCTCTCTTACACACATACTTCTATCTCTCCCTTCACATCTTTCTAAATAAATTTTAATAAAAACTGTGATGCTTCATCCAAATAAAATTAAAAAATTTGAGAACACAGATACAGTGATAGAAGCTAGGAAAAGAAAGACTCCAGATTACCCATTTGTCACTTAACTTCTAGAACACTCTCCCCATTTTCTTTAGTAAGATGACTGGTTCATATGGTAGAGAAAAGGGTGTCTATTCTGAAAGAAAGCTAAGGCTGTCATTATCCAAATTCATAGGCTAAACCATCTCAACTAATGGGTTATGTCCTGATGTACTTGGAGGAAATCTATTTACAAGACAGCCATTTTAAAATAGATAACAACAGGAGAAATGGAAACTCTGGCATCACTAGATTTGTTTTCAACAAGTCAGTCATAAGTGGATCTAAAAGGAAGGATTTGAGGAAGAAACTTCAGGCTATTCTTTTTTTTTCCCTTTGCTATTGGATATGCCAAACACAGTAACAACAAAGTCTCCAATGGAGACGTTACTGGGCTCGCTTGAGCAAATCGATGATCAACGGGAGGCCCTTTACCTTTACCTATATTTCTGTTAAAAACATAAAAATAAAATGCCAGCAAGCAGATATAAAACAAGCCCACATAGGAAAATGAAAGGCAGCTGGGGAAAAACAGTGCCCCCAACTGTACCTGAGGCTATGAGGGCCACCCCTCCCCCTAGAACACCCCCGCCCCCACCCCCGCCCTTCACCTCCCTGCTCATGAGGTCATATCATTCACTTTGGGAAATACTAACAACCTAAGAGCAAACTCTCTAATGACTGGGGGAATTAAAGATGAGAAGGTCTTCCACAGAGAGAAGGTTCGAGCAGGGTGGGGGTGTGGCTTAGTGGTAAAGCACATGCCTGGTGCATGTTGAGTCCCTTGGTTTGATCCCAGACAGCACATACATACAACTTAGCTATGGCCCTGGTGCCCCCCACATCCCATTCCCCATCTCCCAAACCACCAGATATGACCCTGGCTGCTCTGAGCTCTGGGAGAGGCCCCTTTAACAGCAGCAACAAAGAAATAGAAGGTGCCGCCAAAAGTAAGTATCATTTAAATGACTGTTTCTTTTTTAGGGGTACTTCAAATTGACAATCCAAATTTATATTCTGAAAAACATCTGATTCCTACTTTAGAACCCCAAGTGTTCTTCCTCACATATGACACTAAAATGATACACCTGCCAGGCTTATTCCATTACCTTGCATATTCCTGTGGGTAAGGCGAGGAGTACCAGGTCTGGATTTCATACTTCCCAAATTCTATTACAGAAGGATACCGGCCACAGTCTTCCACCCCACTTTCACACTCTATTTTCTGGGAGAGAAAGGAAACATCTAAGTATCAAGGAAAAAAATACCTTTCTTACACACTGCTTCTCCGAACAGTGGGTATGAAAAAATCTATCAAGACCAGAACATTAATCTTAATTGTGAATTTTCTTTTTTGCTTTTTGGGTCACACCCGGCGATGCTCAGGGGTTAGTCCTGGCTCTGCTCTCTGGAATCACTCCTGGCGATGCTGGGGAAACCTATGTTGGGGATTGAACCCGGGTCAGCCGACCTGCTGTACTATCACTCTGGTCCCTTTCATGTTGGGAAAAAATAAAAGCCCTTGTAAAAGAACTGATTTTTCTAGAAGAGTCACAGATAAACAAACTAATACTCTGAGGAACACTATCAATAAAGCCAGGAAATTAATACAATGTGAATACGCATCAATCCCAATTGAGCTGAACAGTCTTTGCAATGGATTAAAATTGAGGAAATTATAAGATGATGCAGCTGTTATGCACTGGTAGTTTGCTGTTTTCCACAAAGTAATATTTATCCCAACCCTAAATAAATGATCGGCTGTCCCTGGTCCCCATGTGAGGGTCTGACCTGCACAGTGTGTAGCGGAGCTGACACAGGCCAGCCGAACTCGCGGGAGCAAGCTACTGCGGGGTGCTGCACTCTCGGACCCTTTCCCCTTCCCAACTCCCTGAATTTGAAGGACTGTCTCTGCTGCTTTCTCTTTCCCTTAAATAAACACTTCAACATACGACCAACTCTCCCCCACCCAATAAATAAATAAATAAAGCTACTGCCACCATGTTGGAAACAAAAGGAATTTATGCTGAACAACATCTTTCAGACAGTGGCCTGCTGTTCATCTTGTCTATCTTAGAACGGGAGAAGTGGCCCCCCAAAAGGCAACCTCAAAACACCGGGGAAAATTTTGCCATTTACTTGTCCAAAAGAAAAGCACAAAGCAGAAGCCCTTTGCCCCAAGTGACTGCTATTTAAAATAGTTACGCAGTCTACAGAGAAGCCACTCAACCCCTTTTGGAAAGCAGGGGCAGGGCAGGGAATCCACTTCGCAGTAACAGTAACACAGTCCATACACAAGATGTGGTCTACTGATACAAAAATTTGTAATGTGTCAAAAATTTCTTCCAAGAAGCACACCAGCACCTCTCAATGTCTTAGTGACAAGAAACTACGGAGAGTTAAAACTTTAAACAAATAAATTACTGGACAGTGAAAATAAAAGTGAGAACTGATCATGAAACACAATATTGTTTTCATCAATGCCAAGGAGTAAAAATTTCTGACATTTTTCATATGGTTGGGCCATCTGTGTTGGAAGAAGCAGTGCTAAATTTAAAAGCAATGATCAGATTTTCTAAATTTGGGCAAGAATAATCAGACATCTTTTTCTTCACACCTACAAGCAGTTTTTCAAAACCTGCCTCAACTACCGCTACTCGGAGCGACCTTATGAAATCAGTGAGCAAAACCCCAAAGGGACAGGAGCAGCAGTCCAGCAGGGAAGGCACTTGCTTTGCATGCAACAGACCTGGGCTCAATCCTGGACACTGCCTTGGTCCACCTGAACCCCGCCAGGAGTGTTCCCTGGGCAAAAGCAGAAGAAAGCCCTGAGCTCAGTTGGGTATGGCCCCGAAACCAAAACAAAGAAAACACACCAAAAGAACACAACCAGGGTTGGGAATGTCACTCAGCTATGGAGACCTGCCTTGGGCTGGATCCTCGCACAATAAGAAAACCGAAAGAAATGAAAGAAAGAATACAGGCAGCACCACGAAGTCCTTGCTTCTGGAAGTTTAGCTGACAAAAATTATTATCCCATTAAAGAAACCTGAGAATTCGCAATAAAAATCAAATGAACTTTATAGATGTAAAAGTCACATATCCCTTTTATAACTCTACTGTAGTCTCCTGAGCCTTACCTCCCAAGAAAGTTCCTGGGCCTGCTTAAAAACATCCAAATCTTCGTCAGTTACGGAATCCTTGTTTCCAATCACATTTAAATCTGTACTTTCTTGTTTGATGCTTATTTTGATTTCAGTATCTGTCATTTAAAACCAGCAGAAACTGTATTCACTGACTTGAAACATGAGTAACCACTGTATACTACCCAAAAGGCTCCAACTAGCATGGTGGATAAATAACGGATTGTTTGATTCTCCAGGAAGTTTTTACATCCAGGCACTGCTCATGACCCAGCAGTGCCCTTTTCTTGTTGCACCCGAATTTTCCCATGCGTTATCACTGTCGACTTTTTATAGTTCCAATAAGTGAGGGACATTAAGACCAAAACAAAGCAAAACCCCATTTTTCGACCCGAATTAGAAGTGATATGTCTAGTTACAGAGCTTCCATAATCCAGTTTTGCGGTAACAGAAAAATACCACTTGTCCAAATGGCACATTCCCCCCGCCCCACCCCTCCCCTTTTGTTTTATAAGGGTAGAATGTACTTGGCCAATTTGTAAAATAAAATTAGGAAATTAGGGTTTTTTTGGTTTGCTTTTGGTTTTTTTTTTTTTTTTTTGGTTTCCCCCTAAAGTGAATACACACACGGACTCATTCACATCCAAAAGCACACTTCACAGAATCACAGATCAGGCTTTGTTGCGAAGGAAGCGAGATGGGTGTTTTCATGAAAGAGCAATGAGCGGAGGGAGAGGAGGGACCGAGACCGCCCGTCGGAGTGGCCGGCGCACACGGCCAGCGCTGTGGCCCGAGAGTGGCGTGGGAGTGAGCATGGCAGAAGCATGACAGTGGCTACTCATGCGGGACTACAAAGCCGTAAGCAACGCTATGGAGGCATCTGGGGGTCCTAGTGTCACTACGAATGGAAATAAATAACAACAGGTGGGAGAGTATTAGTTGGAAAAACAACATTTTCGGAGGTTTAGTCAGCATTAGAAAAAGGTCAAAGTTTCACTGCTTCTGTATGAAAGTGAAGTGAGAACGAGAGAAATAGCTAAGGCCTATGTGACAAATAGGAATCGGTTGATTTCTTGGTCTGGGGGTTGGGGAGAAAGGGACAGGACGCAGGTGTGGTTGGAGCTTTGACCTTTTGCTTACCATCATCCTGATCAGGTTTAATCCTTCCGTCTGTCAAGCTCCCCTTCCCTGGTGAGGGGGTCCCCATCTGAGGGGTCACTTTATATTTTAATCTGTCTACCATCCTGTGCTTTTTAAGGAAAGTCGTTCGCTTGAAGTGAGCAATTGCTTTAAAAATACGTCCTCTAGCCAGCCCCCAGCTACAGGAGGACGAGTGAGAGAGAAACCTACTTCTAATATCTCTTTTTCCAAAGAAATGGGCCTTAGATTTTGCCGTGGCAGGTAAGTCAGGTTTACGACGCATACGTTTGGGTGGTGCGTAACTGGGGTGGCCCTTTTTCCGAGACTGTCCCTGAGTGGTATAGATATGAGAGAGTCCGTCAAAGAGTGCCTTCAGCTGGCTGTTACTAGTCAGACCGCTCAGGGAGGGCACGCTCGACTGGCTCGAGCAACTCTGGGGAGAGGTAGAGGAGGTGGAAGTAGCGGACTTTTGTGAACTGGGGCTCTGACCAGAGATGGGGGTGGGGAGTGGAAGTGAAGAAGGTGGAGGTTTGAGCTGTTGTGTGGTACCTGGAGCCAACACATGAGAAGTGCATGACTGTTTCTGAGAGACCTTTTTCCTTGGACGGTAGTGCTTTGAAAAGTCTATGATTTCACCTCGTGATCTGCGACCATCAGGTGATGGTGTAAAAAACTTAGTAAGGCCATCAATGAGCCCTTTGGTTTTCTTGTTAACTTTAAGTGTAGAGGCAGAAATGTAGGTGGAGGTGGTGGTGGTGATTTTGGTGGTGGCACCAGGCCGAGTGGGGTCTGTGACAGCCAATCTGCTGCTTGAGTCCTTCCCAGATGCAGCATGACCAGATGGAGGTGTGGTACAGACTTTAGTCTTTTGACCCCTACCAGGTGACCCCCTTCCTGTGAATGCATTCATGGATCCTTCATCACTGGTTACAGACCTAGGCAAAAATTTAGAGAATAGTATCAGCATTGAATAAAAGAATTATAAAGGTATCGAAAACAAATTTATAGCAACTTGATTTATTCACTGTGCTTAAATTCAGTTAGGAACTGAATTGTAACGCTAACAACTATTTGTGAGTGTTGTGTGTGTGTGTGTGTGTGCGCGCGTGCACAAGCCTCCACATCTATCTGTTCTTCTGTCAAAAATAGGCAGCACATGTGCATGTCATGTGCCCCCAGGGCCCATGCAGAAGGTACTAGAAACAATCTACATGGACCCAAGGGTAATATCTACCTAATGAAGTATTTGAAGAGACTAAAAGAACAGCCAACGCTTTCAATATAATTGAATAAAAATGTTGTTCCTTGTATTAATTCACAAGTAATTATGATTTCCTGAAAAGCACTTTTTTGTTGAGGTACGAAAGGAAATAAGTCATGAAGTACTATATAGGAATAGGTAAGAAAAATAAAAATAAAAAGGCTAGCTTATCTGATCTCCTAGTTAGCAGCACTTTTGATTCAATTTGAAAATTTATGTACATAGAATTGGGATGTATAAATTAGTACTTTTAAAAAAATTATTGCATGATAGCCTCTTCCTCATTAGTTTATGCTTAGAATAAGATAACCAGTAATACTTTCTAAGAAGAGGAGACAGTTATAGCATAAAACAATTATAGCATAAAATACTGCTGGAAAAAGGGACAATGAGAGCAAAAATTAAAAAAAAACTGAAGAAATGATTAAAGAAAAGCTACAGCGGGTCAGACATGACAAGGAGAGTCTGGTGAAAAGCAGCACACTGACCATGGTCATCATCAGACACTTGGCGTCAGAATCTTTAAACACTGGCTCTGACGGCTATTTCAGTCACTAGATGCTGGTTTGGCCCCTACAGCAGCGTGGGAACAGAGACTGAGGCCACTCCACTCACACAGCAGCTGTCTGCTTTTGCCAGAGGCTGGGGCCTGGAAAGCTCCCTGTTTGCAGCAAAGTTTGGTAAAACAGAAACATCAGCGTGTGAATTATGGCAGCGTGGGGGCCCAAGAATGCACTTTAAAAATGATCAATTCAGATGGAGGCTAATCATGAAGAAATGGAAGCCTGAAAAATGGTATGATATTGAATTACTAAAAAAAAAAATCTTAATTACAAAAGAGTAGGACTCATTTCAGTGGTCCTCTTGCTCAGAAAGATTTAGTGCATGCTTCGACTGTCAGCTCAGGAAAGCTGTGCACAGCTCAGCGAGGCAAGCTCTGAAACTCGCCACAGGGGCCCCAAAGACCAGGAGCTTTGCCTGACCACCACCGAGCAAGTCAGTCCAACGCTGGACATTCCAAGTGTCACAGTCAGAGTCCCCAATAAACAACCTCACCGAAATGTTTCACATCAGAGAGCAGAATGTTGGAGTATATCTGGAATCGATTGCCCAGAAAGTATAATATGCTTATAAAGCATGGAAAAAGGAAAACTCCCTAGACTGTCTTAAAAATTCCTAAGCTCAAAGGACAATTCTGGACAAACAAAAAGTTAGGACTGGTGCCAGCTGCAATTTTCAGCTGTGTCCTTTGTTTAGAAAGTTTATATCCTAATTTGATTTTTTAATTGGACCCTGAGGATACAGTCCCATTTTGAGAACAATGCTTACACAGGACCAATGCAAAAATATATAATCGCTACTTCAAATGATGCTAATATGAAAGATGTTATTCATAAATATGTTTCAGATTTGCCCCCAGAAATTAACAAAAATTCCATTTTAAAATGTCCTGAGTTAAAAGGTTTTCATAATGCTTCATAGAAAGAAGCATGCCTTTTTGAATTTCTCCTTTGGGCAATAAAGGTGTGGGAGGAGACTGTGTTTCTGAGAGCAGGTTATTATGCAGTGAGTTACTTTGGAGAGCATCAAGGGAAGCAAGTAGAATACCTGGGGTTTGTTCCTGGCATGTGCAGAGTACTTCCAAGCCCAGTGACCCCTACTAATTAAGTCTGGTCAAGGATAGCAGTCTTCCTGACAGAACACTACAAGTATGCCACTTTTCTAATTTTCACTGTAGAAACTTTGCTTAATGTTACAGTTGAATCTATGTATATGTCTTAAATAATACATTTTTGTCACTTCTTAGCTTTTTTCTACTTCTCAAAAAAAACTCCCACTAAACATTCTACTGAGCTTGGCAATCATTTGGCAGCAAGGTAGAGGAAATGGGGTTATCATAGTAGATCTAAAGGCTACTGGAAAATGTTCTGTTTCTGTGCATAGTTGCAATGTGTGCAAAAACCAAGCGGCCCTGTCTAGCTTTGGGGGAAACTCGGGGAAAGTCACTTGCAGGTTCCTTCAGAAGCTCTATGTCATTAAAAGGGATCTTAAGGAGTTGTAATACTAAACCAGCACCAGAAAAGAGAAGCCCTTTTTCCATACTGTTATCATCAGTGACGAAAAGGATTCGCTGTGGACAGGGACAAACCCCTCATTTATAAGATTCCATTAAAATAGCCATAGAATTAAGTTCTTAGAAACCTTAGCCAGTAATAAAGCAGGCTGAGTTATGCTTCCAATTCTTATAGAGGCTTCCATCCTGCTGCTTAGAAAATGTCACTTAGAATTACTGATACTGCCAATAGAAGACACCAAAATGCCAACTGCAATAAAAAAAAAAATTTATCCTCCCAAAAATTGTCCACAGCTTAATGCAAAACAACCTCATCCCCGAGGTTCACAAAAATTATGCTAAAAAAGTGTAATGGACGCTAAGGGAATTACCAGCAACCTATAGATTTTAAAGCACAACGATAAAGATTTCTTTTGATAAGATCTCAACCTACAACAATCGTTGCTTTAATTTATTTTTCGGTCGTCCAATGGGTTTTGCATATCGTCGTTTTATTTGTGCAGCTTTCTCATGAAGTAGTTTTCTTCCCTTTTTCTTTGGTCTGCAGACTTGGCAAATCCACATCCCTGAATTAATATATATATGAGAAAAATATTTTAATGTTGCATTCTAGGCGCGAGCTGAAATAAAAATGGCAGTGCCAGTGGGCGGCCCACGAATACGTGGATGCAGAGCACGCCCCAAAGGGGAGCCTGCCTTCTGCCAGCCTTCTCGGGAAGCCACCACAGGTGACACTTTCCCCCGTGGAGGCCGCAGGAGCAGAGGGCTGTCCCTATCAGAACCCAGGCTCTCCACCTCCCAACGTGTCACCAAGCCCCCCTCCAACACATAATCACGTGTGCAAACCCCAGTCTGTCAGATATTCGGTTGTCTTTGAATTTGGAGAAGACATTTGCAAGTCATTCCGTTGGGACTTCTAAGGGGTGAAGGGACTCAGTTTCAACATATCATTCTGGATATGTTCAACATTAAAAAAAAAAGTGATCAACAACAAAATCTAATTTTTTTTAAGTTAAAAAACTGTCAACACTACAGAGGTCAGGTAATTAAAACTCGAAATCTGGCATAGGGATATGTGTCGATGGGCAAGATGATCACAACAATCAAAACCTATTAAAAAAGTATATCAAGAGGACCAAATTACAAATTGGGGGTGGAGGGCGGGGGGGGGGGGGGCGAATGAAGTGATTCAGTAAATGGCGATAAAACAAATCATTACCTATTTGGGAAGGAATTACTTCCTCAATCTTAGAAAAACCATAGGCAAAGGAATGTTATGACAAAATTACATGCTATACGGACCAGGGGGAAACATGGGTATTTATATATTATCTAAGCGTGGCTGACATTTAAAAGACTAAATCCATAAGAAAAAAGACTCCTGGATTTGACTATATGAAAACATAAAGACCTTTGCAAATCAGTAAGAAAAAGATGAAAGCCCCAATAGAAAAATGTTTAATGGGTTAAAAACAAAACAAAACAAAACTCAGCCACTTGACAAAGATATGGAGTCAGTAATTAAACATAAAAATAATCAATCTCACTAGCCTTGCTCATAGTTTTTTTCCTATTTATCAAATTGTTTAAAATCTAAAGTCACACTACATTTTACCAAATAGGTGATACTATTGAGAGTAATTTATATCCACTGGTGATGGTGAGCTTTGGTGAGTACTTGTAAGTCAGGGATGCAGGGATTCTTGCTCTGGGGGTCTGTCGGCAAAGGGATACAGCCTTTCATGAACACAGGTCTTAGATCCAGCAATTCTTCCTCTAGGACTATACCTTGAGGAAATGATTGTGGATGGAAAATTTTGGAAACATTTGTAATGCCTACCAGAGGGTTAGATAAACGATGTTTTGCTTATGCATTGGGCTGCAAAATCAACTAATGACAGGAACCACCCAGGTACAAGCTATGCAGGTGAAGCAAGCTGTAATGTAAGGCAACAGGAGTGGGAGAGCGGCAACTTGAAGCATGCACATTCCTCCTAGAGGACTTGATCCAACACTGAAAACTACCAACAAAGTGTGCCTGGGGGCCTGGTTATACACCAGGGGACCACACTCCACTATACACAATCGTTGTCTTAGCAAAATACTTAATGGTGTGGAATACTTAATGACGTGGCATCTATTAAGAGGTAGACTTATGTTATCTTTTATTTTATATGGTGTATTTTATAAAATGATGACACAAAGACTGAGGTAGGCTAGCTGATATGAGGGAGAAGGAAAGGAACATTCCACATGGATATATCCATGCGCCAACAGTACAGATGCTCAAAAGAGCAACTACAGGGCCAGTGAATGGGGGTAGATTCTGCCATGAATGTCAGACACATTATCATCCCCGTCAAGAAAAACAGGTTAATTTCTGACTCCTGAACAGTGTGCCAAGTCAGGTGAGTGTTCTAAACTTATAGCACATGAACCCAGGTCTTTTTTCAGTTCCCTGTGTCTGATTTAGCGCCCTTACTATATACTTTAACCCTCAAAATAAATGCTTTTACACTCCTATATGAAAGCTGGGAGGGAGGAATGAAAAAATAAAAATGCTGAAAGAACCCCTGAGCCGTTAGACAGCAGACAAGGTTAATGAGTCTGTAATAAAACACATTTTAAATATGCTTTTAAAGTTCACCTTTTGGCATTCTGGAAAGTGGGGGGTCACAGCACTCCATGTGGAATCCTCTATCACAGGAGTCACAAAAAAGCATATTATCCTGTAACGTAACACAGCAGACATGGATTGAGACTGCAACTCAACTGCAAAGGCCACAACTTCTTAGTTACCTAATTACCAACAATACGATAGGAAGGAGCACTGTGACCCCTGCGACAACATGTGCATTTAAAACTTTTTCAAGAAAACAGCAACACTCTACAAAGGAAAAAACCCCAAAACCTTAGCACCCCAAACTCTCAGTTTACCTGGCAGTGGGCTACAGAGTGGTACTTACTGCATTTTTGCCTTGGATTCTACAGGCACTGCATGTCTTGCATTCGATGCACTGCCACCTTAAGGCCTTCACATTTGTTGTTAATTCAGGACAAAATTTCAGACAGGATGGGTGTCCTATAAGAATAAAGAGCAAATTGCTTTATGGGACTGGTGCCTTTGATTTTTAAATTCCCATTCCCTAATATTTCATCGACTCTGTGACGGTGCCACCGCCCCATCCCCATCCCCCAGGGAAAAAATCCCCTAAGAACTTGAAAACAGATCAGAGAATCTAAATCGCACTTTTCTGCCCTCTGACCCCATACAGAACAATATAGCTCTACAAAGCGTTTCCAGAAATTCGGGAAATTTCTATTCATTCCCATCACAAGTCTGAGAATTTTCAAAGGAAATGTATGCTCAGGTGATAGTCTAATTTCGGGGCCAATGTTGAATAGCAGGTCCTCATCATTTTCATCAACCAAAATTTGCTCAGTTTTTTCGGTTTGCTGGACTTTGGGGTGGTGGGGGGGTGGACTGTAGGAGAGTCCAAAGTTCACACAACTCCCACTCTCCACATGTGCTGAGATCACTAGATTCCAAGCAACAGTGAGCTACAGAACTGGAGAGATGGTACAATGGGTCAGGTGCTTGCTGTGCATGCGGAAACTCGGGAAACCACAAAGTTCACTTCAAAACTCTACCAGAAACAGTATGGACGTTTCTCAAAAAAGTTAGAAATTGAGCTCCCATTTGACCCAGCAATACCACTCCTGGGAATATATCCCAGAGAGGCAAAATGTATAGCCCAAGTGACATCTGCACTTGTTTGTTCATTGCAGCACTCTTTACAATAGCCAGAATCTGGAAAAAACCTGAGTGTCCAAGAACAGATGACTGGTTAAAGAAACTTTGGTATATCTACACAATGGAGTACTATGTAGCTGTTAGAAAAGATGAAGTCATGAAATTTACATACAAGTGGTACAATATGGAAAGTATCATGCTAAGCGAAATGAGTCAGAAAGAGAGGGATAGACATAGAAAGATTGCATTCATCTGGGGGATATAAAGTAACAAAATGTGAGATTAATACCCAAGAATAGCTGAGGTCAGCACCAGGAGGATTACTCCATAGCTTAGAGGCCAGCCGGGTATTCTAGGGGAAAGGGCAGTTCAGATAGAGAAGGGAGCACCAAATAAAGGATGTTTGGAGGATCCTCCCAGGAGGGGAGATGCATGTCGAAAGTAGACTATGGACTGAACATGTTTGCCACTCAACGCCTCTTTTGCTGACCACACACCCAAAAGGAGAGAGAGAACAAAAGGGAATGCCCTGCCACAGTGGCAGGGTGGGATGGGAGGGATGGGGGTGGGAGGGATATTATCCATGGTGGTGGAAAATGAGCACTGGTGGAGGGATGGGTATTTGATCATTGTATAACCGAAACCCAAGCACAAAAATTTGTAAATCTACAACTGCACCTCATGGTGTTTCACTAATACAAAAAATAAATTAAAAAAAAAAAAACTCTACCAGAAGTCATCTCTGAGCCAAGAGCAGGGAGTCAGCCCTGAGTGCAGACATGTGGCCTTCACCCTGCCCTCACTTCTGGGGGGGGGGGGGGGGGGGGAGAAGAAACCCTAGTTTTTTTTCCCCCTTAACGGCGCTACTTGACCTAACACAACTATAAATGCCAAAAGTCAATAAATAAAGGTCCACAAGTACGCAAAGAACATCCAGTGTTTTTTTTGGATAGATACAAGAAGACACTGTTGCTTATTGCCATCTTGTCCCATGGTTCTGAGTTTGAAATCTGCAAACAGGAGCTGAAACAGGATGTTGGAGAGTTAAAAAGCTGAAAGACGGAGGTCAAATGATCCATGTCAAGAAACATCCCTTCGGCAGTATCCTGTTTTCCAGAGCACTCCCCACCCCACCGCCCTACCCTCAGAGAGGAGTGTGAGTACCCCAGGGCAAGGCCAGTCCCTGGGGCCCTCCAGAAAGCCTGGGAAGGGTGAGCTGCCCCCTGGCAGGCAGCGCTGTTTCAAAATCGAATGGGCTCTTAGCACATAAACCTGAGATCGCCAAACTTGATTTTATTTTTTTCTAAATCGGATCTTAAAATAGTAAGAACATTAGCAAATCCCATGTGAAGGAACTTATAGCCAAGCTGCACGCGAAACCTGAGGGGCAATAAAAAGCAGATTCTGCAATTTCCAAACTGTTTTATAATTTCCTGACTTTGGCAGGCTCATTGTTTAAATATGTATTTTGGGTGGCTGCCAAAAGGGTCCTCTCCTCCTTAAAGCTTAACAGGTGCTTCATAAAATTCCGCCCACCAGGAGATTTGGCTTTTCGAAGTAAAAACGTTCAAAATCAATCATCAATACCGTTAATAAAAGCACCCGATTCCTGAGTTAGGGTGTGGGGGGGTGGCGAGAAATCTAAACATCTGTGTTTAAGATGTTGAGAAAATAAAACGTTGTGCTAGGATTCCGACCTCAGGGGAGAGCAGCCGAGCAGATGCGTTTAACCTGTGACATGATTCTTTCACAAGGGCTTCTCTCGTTCCAGTGAGAACAGGTAAAAATGGTATCAATCACCTCTTTCTGCTCAGAAACAGCAACAAAGACAGCTCCAGAGTGGGCTACGGGAAGGGCGGGGGAGGGGTGGGCATGCTGGCTGACTTTGATCTGGGGTTTTGCCCCCTTATATACTGAGGGAGGTAAAAACTCAAGTTGGGTTCTTTTTTTTGGAAAAACAGCAATTTAAATTCCACCCTTAAAATGGGTCCCATCAGTTTAAAAGTACACCATCTCCTTCTCTTCTCCCCTCGCTCTTTTTATTACTTCCTGTAAGTCATATATCACTAGCACATATGACCTCAATTTCATGCGAGAAATTTTTCTCTACATCAGAATCTGCTTTTGCACTCGTTCGCCTAATAGTCAATAACTCGGTAATTCACATATGATAGCTTAATATTTATTTGCGGATAGCCTATGAAAAATACTTCTTCATAATTATTTTTTTTTAATTAATGGGTGTGAGCCACTTTCAAGGAATGTTTTGCCTCTTGTGGCTTTTCCTAACTTTAAGTAATATTATATCTCAACAACTACCATTTAGGCTACCCTGTCCAACTCTGTCTCCTGCCGCACTTTCCTGTATGCACCAATCTTACCTTTATTTAGCTCAAGAGAATTGGCCATAGATCCCTTCCAACTCTAAATTTCTATGATTCTGTAAGGGGTGCTGAGGGATGAAGAAATATTTCCATTTTATTTTTCTCATGGCCAACTTTAAAATAACTCAAAAGACTGTAACTGAGTCTTGACACACTTCTATACAATCTACCTCAACCAGATAAAGGAAACAATTCGATTGCTAATCCACTCCAAACCTCCCAGAGAGCCGTGACAGAACTCAACAGTCCCCTTTCATAACAGTGCTCTCTGCTGACACGGTCCTAGGGCGGTGTGTCCTTCTGGAGTTTGCTTTAGTGGTTTATAATTTATCCGATTTGAGAGCATAACGTGCAGTTGTTCACTCATTCATTCTCATTACAAAAACATATCAAGTGCTCATACTTTGTGGTGGTTTTATCTGGCAAAACTAGAGGGTTACTATCTAAAGTTAAGTAAGTACTGATGAGACCACAAACTAGATGAAATAATTTTTGGATAAGTGCTGTGTAGGGGGTGGGGGTGAGGGGCGGGAGAAGAGTGGGGTAGAGAGAGAGGAGGAAGATACGGGTTCTATAATAAACAGAATTAATTACAGCTGCACTCCAGTCTAAAGCCCTATTACCAGTAACCTATAAAAATATTAGAGGCATTGCATAAGGAACAAATGGGGAAATTATCATGGAGTATTGAGTAGGACCAGTCTAATCACAAGTACATAAAGTGCAGAATGCTATCTAGCAGACTAAGTGAGCTGAAACAAAAAAGGGGAGGGAAGAGAGGGTTGAAGCAGAGAAAGCAATTCCCACCCCCGGCCCTATTTATTCAGTTCTAAAATGCAGGAAGGGGGGGGGGGGCACAAACCAATGCATGTGACTACTCTCTAGAAGTAAGGAATGACAGTTCACCTTGAGAGATACCTAGAATATAGGACCTTCCATCTATGAGGACAAGGAAAAGGACTGTCAGCAACACAGACAGGAAGGAAGTGGACACTCTATTCTGGAGTCTTCAAAAAGGAACTTTACTCTAATAGCTTGATCTTATCATGATGAAACCCAAGTCAGGCTTCTTACCTCTGGAATGGTAAGGCAACAAATCTTACAGTTTTCAGTCTAAATAAGTGGCAATTTACAACAATACTGAAAAACTAATTAAGACTTAAAAACTGGGCTCTACGGACTGGGCACCTGACCAGTCACATGGGACAGTGGACACAGACTACTAATGCTGAAAGTGTCATGGTAGCAGGCCAGAGAGACATGAACTGTGTGATGGGGGGTGATACAGAGAGAGGAGAGGAAGTCCTTTTGAAAGAGAAGACCCAAAGGATAAACAGGATAGATGGAACCAGAGGAGGGACAAGCACAAAGGGAGAGAAGGACGTGGTATACTGGAGGGCAGGAAGGAGGTTCAGTATTGACTCATATGCAGACCAAGACAGGCCATTAATACAGGACAGATTCATAGGAGCCCAATCTGGAAGTTTTTAGGGCTAAAGAATTTTAATGTTTTCCTATGGGCAACTGGTAGTCAGTAATTACAATTTGGGGGTAGAATCAGGAGCCACACCTCTGGCATATTTCTGGTGCTGTGCTCAGGACTGCACCCCCTGGCAATGGTGCGGGCCTTAAGTAGTGGTAGGGAGTGAGAGGGATTCCAACTGGGATTGGGAGCACGCAAGGCCAGCACCTAACCTCCTGGACTACCTCTCAGCCCAATTACTTATAATTTTTAAAAGTAACGTAGGCTGCAACATGAAAAATGGATGAGAGGAAATAGGGTCAAGGTGAGACTTGTAATATCAGATCTAAGGTTGCTGGGGGTCTGAAGACACCTTTACGTGTCGGATTAAATACATTGCTGCTGCTTCCTTAGCCCGAGAGGACCGAAGAGAGGACGGCCTGTGTGCTCAGTGAGTGCCTCTTGTTAAAATGGGTCACCTG